ACCACGACACAGATGATACCTGCAACCACAACGATGATGGGAATCTCTCTCAACTATTGTTAGATTGCCAACTTTGAACAAGGGCAATTTGATCTAAAAAAAATCAATCCCAGTATTATTTTTGCAATACTAGGGGGATAGGTGGTTTTGTGTAATCCCATATAACATGGGATTGGGTCTAGCATTAGCTTCACCAATGATGCACACCAAACATGATAAGTTGGATTTATTCAATTCCAATCTCATTCACACCTTTCTAATGCTTCCTACCAAACAGGGCCATAGGACCCTCAAAGGTGATGGTGGGCAAAGGGAGCTCCTATTTTGAATTAAAATTTGAAATTCATTTCATGTCCATAAGGTATGAGGATCATTTACTCTATTTTTGGTTTAATATTTTCATTGTATTTCAAAAAACATAAATATAATGATAATGATGATGATTAAATTTATATATGAATAATATTCATTTTTTAGAAAACATGAAAAGTAAAGTGCACGTAGAGTTGTTAATAAAAAGTCGGCCTAGATTAAAAGGGTCAAGCTCGTAAGTTTGATTTTGTGGAACAGATTTTTATTGGTAGGACTCCTGACCGCCAGGCCTAAAGTTCTAAAAGCTCAAAGTGTTAAAATTAAGTTTTATTATATGAGCTTTCTTTTTTTTAAAAAAAAATATATATTTAAATTTAAATATATCAAATTTGACAGGAATTGAGTCTGGCGGATTCGAATTACCGGCTCCACCAAAATGCATGTGATTGGGTGTCCGGTGATTACCGTATATGGGTCCCACTTAGCTGCGCCTGGCCCAACTTGGCCACCGCCTTTTTTTTACTGTGACGTCAAATAAATGTACCTCCTATATCGGTATTATTATTTAAAATTAAACAAATAGTGTATCCTTAGAGTTTATTTTTGAAAAATAATAATAAAATTTTTTTTGAATTATAAAAATAATAATTTAATTTTTTTAAAAAATTTCATAATTTTACTTAAGTGTTTAGAAAAATCTATTCAATAAATTTTAAATTAAAAAATTATTTTATCTTTATTAATAAATTGTGATTTCTTGTTTCATTTTTATTATTGTTTAAATAAAAGTTATTCTTTAAACAAAAATTGTAATCGGAGCTTGTTACTTTTAGAACTTGTTTCTCAAGAACATAAATTACAATTGATAATAAAAGTTGTGATTGTGGATTGTTATTTTGAGAAGTTTTTTAACAAAAATTACATTTAATAAGTTTTGATTTCTTGTTCAACTCTTTCAATTTATAAAATAAAATTTTTTATTTTTCAAGCAAAAGTTATACTTGAAGCTTATTATTTTAATGAGAATAAAATAATCTTTTTACTTTAAAATTTATTGATACGAAATTTCGTAAAAATTTTAATAGAATTATGACACTTTGAGGACTAGCTTATTATTTATATAATTTCAAAAGATTTTATTTTTATTTTTTAAATTGGGTGGTGCTTTGGTTTCACTTTATTTGATATTTCAGAAGGAGTAGTGCAAATGTTGTAATGTTGGTTACGAAATTACACATAAGAACTTATTCAGGAAAGAGAATTATTGAATAAAACTGCTTGCACTAATTAAGGCAACTGAATATTACCGGGTACTTATTTTATTCTTGATCTGTTTATTTCTTTTGATTATGCGAGAATTTGGAAATTATATGTCGACACGCTATCACATCCTCCAACATTCATGGTTCGGTCCACGCGTTTAAATCCCCTGAAAGAGATGCCATGAAAACGAAGTAAGGATATATATATATATATATTTTTTTTTTTTTGAAGAAAACGAAGATAATATTGCAAGGAAAAAATATGTGATCATGTTATCTGTTTGAGAACTTAATTTCAGTGCCACACAATTTTAAACATTATTTAATAAATTTATGGCAGATTGATACTTTGTCGATGTGTTTGCCAATATTGTTCGATAATTTATATCCGAACACTATTGATGACAAGTTGACAACTTCTAGTTATGGAGACACACACACACACACACAATTTGTTGTTGAATTATTCTGAGCAAGAAATAATGATGAAGCCAGATCTGTTGCCCATATCAATATACAAATAACTATTGTCTGCAGGCTACACTCTACCACTCTTGAATATGGTGACTTGTAATAAATTCTAGATTTTATATTGATGAAATGATTTTTCTTAATTTCGTTGATATTTGATTTTTTATCATTTATACATGTTTGATAGAAATTAATATCCTAAAAACTATATTAAACTAATTTAGTTTCCAAAAATAAAAAACTTTAAATTGAATATGTTGGAAATTTTAAACTTCTCGTTGTGTTGTTGCTCTAAATAACGTTGCGAGGTGTTGTATTTTTTTCCAAATTAGTTTGATGGCATTGGTTATGTGGAATCTTAGCTCTGTAAAACTATGAAAACTCATTTTATAAAATTTTGGACTTCACACACACAATAATATGGATTTTTGTAGGATGAGAAATTTGCTGCAAAAGCTTAATTTTATGTCCTTTGACGCACTTGTTGCCTTGTGGATGGAATGATTATACCCACATTTACAAGCCATATATATTATTTACCAACCGTAGCTAATTTTATAGATTATATTAAGTGGGTAAGAAAAACGTACATGTAAATAGAAAGAGAAAAAATTATCTCCTAGCCTAATCATTTCAAGGTATCGAAAACTGGTTAAGAATTAATTATCAGAATTAAAGTCCAACCATGTATGAGCTGAGTATTTCAATAAATTCATTAAGATATTAATTTAATGATTTATTGATTCAATTGATTAAATTAACCCAATTTTCAAAATTATACATCATTTGTTTATAATCATATATAGATAATGTAACACAATTGGGTTGGCTCATTTAGCTCATTGGGTCAATTTTGATGAACTAGGCCAAGAAAATTCCAATCTATTGAAAATAAGTCACAAACCTGAGATCAATTCAACTTGTTTTATAATTAATTTTGATATGTTAATATAAGTATTTAGATATATTTTCACGAAATAATCATTCTAACTTGTAAATTTGATTTCAAGCTATCCAAATCGATACTTTACATGTTTAACAGTTACTATTTGCAAGTTTTAGATTCATTGATTTAAAAATTATAACTTGGTAACTTCTAAAAACTAAAAGTATACTATCAAATGCTTAATTTAACTAGCAATGAAGTTATACTAATTTAATTAGAGGTCTTGAATATAACTCTAAAAATAAGTAATATTAGCAATATTATAACTTTTACTAAGGCTTAGTTGAGGTTGAGCAATGAGAGAGATTGGCTAGCCAAAGGGACTACTCATAACCCACCTATAAAAGGCAAAATGAGCATAAGCTAGCTCGTACCCATGGCCAACTCATTTTGGCTTGTTTGAATATGGGTTGAGGCTAATCTAGAATAGGTTTAGGTTGACTCATTTTTACCTCCAAAGTCACAACATATTTATAAAAAAAATGATAAAATAAGGGAGAAGATTAGGAGAAATTTAACTTGTAGATCTAGCCAACAATTTTGCAAATTAAAAAAAAAAAGGCCAACAAATTTACAATCTCAAGGAAGAAGCAAATCATGAGACAAGGAAAAATGGGTGTAGAGGACCAAAGCTTCTCAAAAATGATAGCCTCCACCCAAATGCTCTATTCTCAATCAAGTTGCATGAAGGCCTTTGATTTAGGTCTTGACTTTAGATCTAGAGTGGTCGGAGATGAGTGTAAAGGCTAGGGAGACAAAGACAAGAGCAAGTGAGGGAGACATTGTGAATTCTTGATATCAAAGGTTGGAGACACTATGAGTTCTTGAATGATGCAACGTGAGCTCAAGTAGAGTGGAGAAGAGAGCTCGACTGGATTGTTGATAGGTCGATAACAACCAGAGAAAAGATGGGGTGAGAGTTAGGGGCCAAGATCGAGTTGATTATTTAAAGAAGAGAGTGTGACTGAGCCAACTTAAGTAACTGAGCCTTCATGAATGATGAGAAGAAAGCATGACTATGCGAGATTTTTCTATTTCTCTACATAATGTAGCATTTCAAACTTTTCAAGAGTAGGGATGGTCATTCTGAAAAATAACTTATAACCTATCCTGCTTATTTACAATACTTACAAGCTGGCTCTTATCTTTAGCCTACTAGTTTATTTTTAATGGATAAGTTAAAATCCACCCATTTTGACCAAGTATAAGGTGAGTGTGGCCAGCCATGGGTTATTTGCTCAGCCCTAACTTTCACATGAAAGGGCCTAACATGGCCCAATCTAGATTAGTATAGGATCATAAGTCTCTTAACATTTGATAGTAATTAGTAATAATATATCTTTTTAGTCTTATTTATAAATTATTTTTGATATATTTTATCGAAATCATATAAAATTTTAAAACTCATTAACTCTATTTTATAATTTAATAAATTCTCAATTCTATTCTTATTAAATAAATATATCTTAATAATATATTTTTTCTCTAACATTCAATAGAGTGTAAAAAAATTATGTTAAAAATTTAATAAAATAACTTATAAATGAGATAAAAAAAATTTCTCCTCATCTTATAATAGGACTAGAAATAGTGTATGTATGTATGTATATTCAAGGGAAAATTCAGGGCCACACCGGAAGGGAGTGACAGGTCAAAGACGCGTGTCAAAGGGGTACATGAGAATACAGAGGAAAAGGGGGACCAGGGATCTCTCTAATTTTTTTCCTCCCTTTCCCTCCACTTCCCTCATCCTCACCATTCATTAATTTTATTATTTAAAAAAATATTTAATAAAAAAATTTGAATGATGAGAATGGAGGAAGTGGAGAAAAATGAAGAGAAAAGAAGAGGAGAGACCTCACTTCCGGAAAAGGGTGCCCGCATAAGGGGTCGCTTTTGGGAACAAAACTCGTTTATCATTTTTTTTTTATTTTTTCCTTTCTCTCAGCGGAAAAACCTCATCTTTTTACCCCTCCTAACCGCTTGCCCATTATTAAAGGGGGCCACCTTCCTCTGCTCTCTCTCATGCTATCCACTCACCTTCTTCCTCTTCTTATTCTTCCTCTTCCTCCCAAAATGGTCGCTCTGGTTTCCCAAGACAATGTCGTCACATTGGTTTCTCGCACCGGCCGCCAATTGCAGCGTTACAGGAAAGGTCGCCGCCAAGTCGTCGGGTTCGTCTCTTTCCCTTCCTTCCCTCTATTTGGCTATCTGGGTTTCTGCATGAATACCACTTCAGCAGCTAAAGGCTTCACCTTTCTCCTTGTTTCTTTTGCAATAATGGAACAAATGTATGTGTGGATTTGCTTCGGTGAAAACCGAACCGGTTGATTGATTTTGGTGGTCAAATTGAAATTTATGCAGGTGTATACCATACAGATACAAGATGGAGGAGTCAGAAGAATTAGAGGTTCTGGTTATCAGTTCTCAGAAGGGCAAAGGGATGCTTTTTCCAAAGGTATCAATCCACACACCTTCCCACAAATTGAGTATATTAGTCAATAATTTAGGCTCGAATCAGACATCATCATTATGTTTTCCCCCTTTCTGATTTACATTGTTAATTAATAATGATTTATCTGGTTGACCCAATCCAGGGAGGCTGGGAATTAGACGAATCAAAAAAGGAGGCCGCTGTGAGAGAAACCATAGAAGAAGCAGGAGTGCGAGGCATTGTTGGGGTAAGCATTTTAAGCAAACAACCAAACAAGCACTGTACTCTCTGCTTCATGATTCAATTCACAGACCTGTTTATCTGATGATTCTGTGTATTGTGTTTGTGTTTGGTTTCAGGGTGGACTGGGTAAGTGGAGCTTCAAGAGCAAAACCCATGACACCTTATATGAAGGTTACATGTTCCCTCTCCTTGTTCAAGAACAGCTTGAACTCTGGCCTGAGCAGAACTATCGTCAACGAATCTGGGTAAGTGATCAATCACCTTTTCAAGTATCATGTGATCCATTGGCATGTTAGGCTTGAAGTCACTGAGATATTCTTGGTTTGATTTGACTGGGTGTAGATGAGTGTTGATGAAGCAAGAGAAGTATGTCAACACTGTTGGATGAAGGAAGCTTTGGACAGACTAGTGAATCGTCTCAGGACTAAGAAGCTTGGACGAGAGAAGCAAGAAGGCTGTTTGAAGAGCAATAATGGAGATGGTGGAAAGTCTGACTTGGTAAATAGGTTGTGACTATTTGGTAGAGAGATTAGAGAGCTTCAGTACTATTGGTTTTCTCTCGGATCTTATCAGCTCTGATGATCAGGAAGAGTTAGGAGGAGGATGAAAAATTGAAATTGAAAATGAAAACCCAGGATTCTACAATTGTACTGCAAGATGGTAGAAGATATAATGATAGTAAATAATTTTCTAGATCAGATCATCAGATGACTCTTTTAAGTTTTCTTTTTTCTTTGTTTTGGTTTCGATGGAATCTTAAGTGTTGGGGAGGGTGATTCGGATTCTTGCAAAAAAATTGTAATCAAACAATACCCTATCATTTCTCAGGAACAGAGTTTCAGATGGGCATAATTTAAAGGGGAGAAAAAACAAAAACTTTGCTGCGATTTTCCGCATGATTTGAAAACCGCACTTGGATTTTTGTTCGCTTGAGAAGGAAGTGTTGGTGGGGTAATGATATCAAGTTAATTGCAACACTTTCTGGTTTATCAAATTGATTGAGTTTCTAGAATCCACCACCTGAGCACATATTACTGGTACAGCAACTATGAATATGAATATTTTTTCTCATAGAGGAGGCTAGCCGAGGCTAGAAGTTACGACTATGAATATGAATGTGATCAAGCAATACTTGCAATAATTTTTTTTATAATTTTAACATCATTTGAGGGATCATGATTTTTGGTAGTATTTACCAATGGAAGTTTTAGTTTATTAAAAATAATTATCCTTTAGTTATTGATAATAAAATTAAATAACAGTTGGGATAGAATTACTGTTAATTTGTTTGGGGGTAATCTGTTATTTGAAAAATATATCAATTAAGTTGTCGTTAAAATATATATTTATTAAATTTTGCTTGTAGGACTAGATTTAGTGGAATTTGACTTAATATTTTTGGATTTGGATTCCGTACTCACTCAATCAGCGGCTTAATTTAATTGAATAGTTATCAGTGATTTTGTTATTTCATACTCAAAACATATCAACTTTCAAATTTTTGGAAAAGACATTGTAAGCAAGGAGTGTTTTGATCATGTGATTGTTTTAATTTTTTTAAAAAAAATGTATATGGATAATTTTTAAATATGGATAAAATGCAAAGTCTACATTTGTTGAATAAGTATATTTAAAATATTTCCTGAATCCAAATCCAATATTTTTCAAACAAGGTGCAAGGTTATGTTTTCAAACTTCAAAGTTATGCCAAATATTAAGATAATGATGAAAAATTAAATTTACCTTTCCTGTATTAACACTTTCACATTAGACATTAACAATAATAGTAGCTCACTGCAACCAAATTAATCTATTTTTTAGTTTTATTTATAAATTATTTTTAATATATTTCATGTTAAAATTAAAAAAAATTAAAATTTATTGACTTTATGTAAAAATTTAATAAGTTTTTAACTTTATTACAATTAAATGTTCATACTTTAGTAATATAATATATTCTCTCACCAATATTTAAGATGACATATGAAATTTATAATAAAAATTTAATGATGTGAGCTTAAAAATAAAACAAAAAGTTTTCTGCCCTTCTTGTAGATGAGATAAGATAGGAGGAAGTTTGTATTTACGTTAGCATCCATTGCCCATTTCTCAACTTCCTCTCGCACACACCAATGCTCAGCCATTACACATGTACCCTTGATTTGGATAGGAAGAAAGATAAGGATGATAAAAAAAAAAAATTAGGAGGAAAAATTTGAAAAAATAATTAAAAAAACTTATTATATTTTTGAAAATTTTTGAAATTTTTTTCTGTTTCTTCTTTTCTTTTAACTTTTCTTTTCATCCAAACCATGAATCAATATATACCCATCATTAAGATGAAGAAAGGGGAAGACCAAGACCACAAGCTGATCATTTAACTCCTTTTAGATAAGGAATCTTCCAATAACATGAAAGCACAAGTTTTAACGTCAACCCTAACCAAACATTAATGTCAGGAAAATTTCTAAAGATTGCAATGCAATTACAGACTATTTGGTAGTACTTATCCATGTTATGCCTATTTCAGTGGTCTTTATATACGGCGTTCTCTTTAAAATCAATTCTATGTCATATTACGTTCAAATTAGCCAAGCAAAAGAAAACTACATTTAATGGTTCAGAGATGATAAGGATAGAATCTTGATGAATCAAGAGTCAAGACAGCAGCAGTTGAACATATATATTAAAGCCACGACAACGTAGGGAACAGTTTTTTTTTTTTTTTTCCTTCTATTATCTTGGTTTTACAAATCATGCAGTCGCTAAACCCAAATTCGACTTCAATTAATCTTAATATGAGCTAGGAGCCGGGGCAGGTCTCAAATTGAAATAACTTTTTTCACATTTATTTAATACATTTATACGGACTCAAATTTAAAACCTCTTATAACTAAACAACTATAATTCTTATCTGTAAATTAGGTTTTAAAAGATAAATTAATAACATTTAGATTATCGGCAATTTTTTTAAAAATATTATTAATTCATATTATTACAAACAGAAATTTTGAATTACAATTTGATAGTTATATTTAAAATTCAAATACTTTATCTACAATTGAAACATTTGAACTTCCAAGTATTTGAATTAATATTTTTAATTAATTTTTAAACTAATTATTAACTAGTTATTATTAATTCAATTTTTTCGGATCTAACTATGTAGACTAAGAAACAACCACCTACTGGTCAATGTTCCAATATATACTCAATGATAATCACACTTCTCTTAAGTCATGTTTGGTTATTAGAAATAAAATAAAATAAAATGTATTAAAAAATAAAAATAAAAATAAGATGATAAAAAAATAGTAAACCATATTGATAAAGGAAGGGAGTAAATTAATTTATAAGATTAAGAATCATAATATATAAAATTTTTGAAAGAAGTGATGATTCTCACATTTGTGATATATATTAATAAGTTTTATCATACTTAATATGAGGAGGAGGAATGATTTAGTTTATTTTTATATTATTTTTTTTTAATCTATTCCTTTCTAGTAATTAATGCTGACCTTATACGTCTATTATATATTATATCTCTCTAATAATAAACGATACTTTTTCCAGAATATGAAATATTTATTTTTTAATGCTCCAAATGACGCAAAAAATAAGTACATACTTCGCACTTCAGCATTGTTTGTCGGCAAACTATTATCTTTTCCGCTTTTTGTTTTAAAAAAAAATATGTGAAAACAATACAAAAATTGAGAGCACATTTGGTGCTCACTAGGATAGTGCTCACCACCCTTAAAATAATCTGAACTGTTTAAATTTAAATATTTTTATATTTTATTAAAATAAAAATTTATAAAATTTTGAATAACTCTATTAATTATTAATATATACAGTTCATATTTAATTAGATTGTCTGAATTTAATATTAATTTTTTATAATTTTTATAAATTAACCATATCTATTGTTTAGATTGAAAATTTTAACTTATTATACTATTAGAGTCAAAAGAGTCAAGAGTAAATTTGTATGGTCAATTTATAAAAATTGTAAAAAAATAATATTAAATTTGGACCAATCTAATTAAATATAAACTAATATATATTGGCAGTTAAAAGATTTATTAATTTTATAAAAAATTTATTTTTAACAAAAATAAAAAATTATATAAATTTAAGTCGTGTAAATTAAATTTGAATGATTTAGAATATTTCAGAGGTGATGAGCACCAACTAAAACATCATTCCTAAGACTCTATAATCCAATGACTTGTTTCTGAACATTTCTACATTGTCTTGCAACATTTTCCCCCTTATTATCTTCATTTGATTTGATTAATCTTGATTCTGATCTGAGTTTCATCCCCCAACGGTCGTAGTCTCGTAAGATTTTCACCTACAACCTTCCCCCCCCCCCTTTCATGAATCTGCAATGAATTTTTAATTTCAAGTTCATTTTTTAAAACAAAAAGAGGCCATTTTATTAATCACCAAGAAATACTAATAATGTTACACGCACTAATCACCAAAAAAACAAAACAAACACCTATGCATACAACCTAGGAAAGTAAAGAAAGCAATGGAGCCTATCGATACAACCTATCATTATTTTCAAGTTCACTTAATGCAAAGAATAGCATGTAAAATATGATTTCATTGTTTAAAATATCATTGCTGTTCTTAAATAGAAAATGACAGAAAATACTATCTATTTTACTATTTGTTAAATACAAGAATTTTATTTGAAAGCACACAAAAGCTCTCCGGTGGTTACAAGGGCGTGAATGTGTGTGTATATCTATGTGGAGTTAGGACAATAGGTAAAATAACCATATCTGGAATAAATACTTTTTCGATGGATTCTATGGAATAAATATTATCAAAACAAAAGGACAAGTATTGTGAAAGTTTTTTTTTTTTTTTTTTACAAGTTTAAGAAATAGCTCTCATAGACAAAGAAAAAAAATATTCCTCAAGGCACTGAGAGGGATGAATAGATTTATCTAAATTAGAACATACACAAGGATTGAACTTTGAACCTTTAGCCACTTGCTCTAGTATCGAGAACATCTATTACACTCACACCAACTTGGAGGTAGTTATTGAATTGGAGTGTTGAATTATGAATTCAATTCCAAAACGGTTGCCTTAAATATTAGGTTTTAGGCCCATTTTCGGGATGTGGTCAATAGCCCACAAAAGTATGGGCTGGGCCTTCCGGATAGCCTGATAAAAACATATTGAAACTCAATGCTGTCTTCTCCACTTCGAAAAAGTCAATAGCCCACAAAGCTTTCAACGCCTTATTTGGCATACATATCTCGCTGAGTAACAAAAAATAGTTATGAAACTTCAATTGACTATACGACAAAACAAACACAGATAATGCAAGACAGCAACCAAAACTGGCAGCAGACAAACACTAAAAACAAAAAACCCAAAAAATCCCAAAAACCACACCCAGACTACCTAATGGGTGGAGGAAGCCCACTAACAATATGACTGTATATAATGCGTGATTTTTTAATTTTTTTTATTTACATTTAGAATTTGATTGTGATTTTAAGAAAACTATTTTTAATAAGAAGACACCTATAAATAATAAAAAAATATAATACTTATGAGGTCACCATTGATAATAACAATCCCTTATGATGAGAATTGAATTAGTTTGGACAGGTGGTGATAATATTCTCAAATTTTTTAAGATATTGAGTGATGGAATAAATAAAAAATAATAGATGATGAAAATTTAAAAGAGCGAGTCACGATACAAGAACCCGCGTTATTGGCATTTGGCAAGTTATTAACAAATAACAATAAAACTTACTTTCTTGTGATATGGGAAGAGAAATATTTGCAATTTCTTGTGATGCAAAATTTTGATGATACATTTGCTATTCGAGAAGAATTTTTAAAGGAAATAGAAGTGGAATGGGAGGA